GGTGCCTTCCCATCGAATGCCTGTGGCTTTCTTCGTACTGGATCACTCCTATTACTGACATTCATACCTGGGATGTGACTTATGACAGGACTGAAGATGCGGCGTCTGGAAGGGGCTTGAAGTTGATGTTTAATGTATCCTCCTTGTGTAAAAGACAATATATCATCCTTTAATGTATTTAATTCGCTTTTAAATTTACTGATGTTTTACATTTGTACTTCTTGCCACTGTTGTTGACTTTCCCGTAGTTGATGCTGACTTTCTTCCTGTTTCCTTTCTTGTTCCAGCTGCCACTGCTGTAATCTCTCTTCTTGTTTATTTTATTTCTTCTCCAACTACTGCTGTAGTCTCTCTTGTTTATTTTGCTGTTCGAGCTGCCACTGTTGTAGGTTTCCTGCCACTGCTGTTGTCTCTCTTCTTGTTTCTTTTCTTTTTCCTCTAACTACTGCTGTAATTTCTCTTCTTGTTTCTTTTCTTTTTCCTCCAACAACTGCTGTGATCTCTCTTCTTGTTTCTTTTCTTTTTCCTCCAACAACTGCTGTAATCTCTCTTCTTGTTTCTTATCTCGTTCTTCTTGTTTCTTTTTCTGTTCTTGTATTGCTGCCAACAAATCTGATAAGCTGTAGTTTGATTTGCCGCTTCTTGTTTCCATTTTTTTCTTTTCCGTCCCACTCTCAGACACCAATTTGTTATGCCTCCGTTCGTTAATTTTCCGTAAAAAGTTTTTCCGAAGAAACTTTAGCGAAACAAGTCCTTTCTTAAATAAAACTGGTTTATTCTCTCTGAACACAACTTTGCAATACACATCATTTCCACAGTCGCGCTATAACAAACGCTATAATTCACTACGAACGTCTCACGTGCTCGACACAACATTACGTCTCTCTCTGTCCGCAGTTCAATTACCCATTACATTGTTGCCGTCAGTTCTCACCGGTTTATATATATACAAGACTACCGCATATCTAGTAGGCCCTCAAGATTTCAGGAAGGAACGTGAACGTTCGAGAAGATGACGTGTTACTAGCGTCACGTGACCTCCGTTGTCGTAACAATATAATTAAAACAATAATTAACACAGGACTTGCAGTTAGATTCTTGAAATTTTACAGATCTAGCAGACACAGTGATAGACGTTGTGATTTATTTTTTATTTATTTATAGATATAATTAAAACAACAATTAACACAATACTTGAAGTTAGATTCTTGAAACTGTCCAGATCTAACAGACACAGTGACAGACGTTGTGATTTTTTTTTATATTTATAGATATAATTAAAACCAGAATTAACACAGGACTTGAAGTTAGATTCTTGAAACTGTGCAGATCTAGCAGGTACAGTGATAGACGTTGTGATTTATTTCTATTTATTTATAGATATAATTAAAACAATAATTAACACAGGACTTGCAGTTAGATTCTTGAAACTGTCCAGATCTAGAAGGTACAGATCAAAATAAAAAACACAATAAACTGCATGATGTAGCATAAACTTGATATTTATATTCATAGGCATAACATTTATATTATTCAAGCTTATTTTAAACAAATTATTCATTGATGTGGACAAATAGGCTTAACACTTATTTTACGTAACACATTGCGTGAAGCTACTTGAAGTTTAACGTAAACATTTGAGAATCAAATTCAAGATGCAAAGACGCCAGACAATCAACCTCTTCGGTTCTTTCGACGTTTAGCTTCTAATTCTAAAGCCTTTTTGCTATTTTCGACGAATATCTAGTAAGGAAGAAAGAAAGAAACCGCTGTATAAAATTTATCTTCAGTGATTTTCTGAAAACAAAAAGAAACTTATTATAGAACTTATACTTGCTCATGTTCGAAATAAATATTATATTAATTAATTTGCAACCTTTATCTGATGGTCCACACTTAACTACAGTTTTCTACTTTCTACATACCATAAGGTTTCGACTCATGTAGTAAGGCTTATTTATTCCATCGTTACGTTCGCAGTCCTCACAGAAGCACAGAAACAGGGTGTCAATTGCCATCTTGAATATAAAAACAAAACAAAAAACAGGAGGTTAAAGACGGACTCTGTGGAGTAGCGGCGTGCTATATAAGTAGTTTAACTTATGTGTATAACGTCAAGAATATGTTGCTAGCGCTTATTAAATTTTTACCATCAATATAGTCATACAGTTTTATATATGAGTGTGTATTAAATATACTATAACGAACTTCAAACAACCAAACATTCTTTTAGAATCAGATTGTTCTGTGTGTAGTTATATAGGATAAATATATAAAAACAAATAAATGCTGTAAATAAGACTCTACTACGTCTGGTAACATATAATGTATGAACAAACATTCTATATCAGGATATTCTAGATCTAATTACATAAGGTAACAAACAGTTATACAGCATTATTATGTAGTGAAGAACACACTGTTATACGGTATCATTATGTAGTGAAGAACACACTGTTATACGGTATCATTATGTAGTGAAGAACACACTGTTATACGGTATCATTATGTAGTGAAGAACAGACTGATATACGGTATCATTATGTAGTGAAGAACAGACTGATATACAGTGTCATTATGTAGTGAATAACACACAGTTATACGGTATCATTATGTAGTGAAGAACAGACTGATATACGGTATCATTATGTAGTGAAGAACACACTGTTATACGGTATCATTATGTAGTGAAGAACAGACTGATATACGGTATCATTATGTAGTGAAGAACACACAGTTATACGGTATCATTATGTAGTGAAGAACACACTGTTATACGGTATCATTATGTAGTGAAGAACACACTGTTATACGGTATCATTATGTAGTGAAGAACACACAATTATACGGTATCATTATGTAGTGAATAACACACAGTTATACGGTATCATTATGTAGTGAAGAACACACTGTTATACGGTATCATTATGTAGTGAAGAACAGACTGATATACAGTATCATTATGTAGTGAAGAACAGACTGTCATACGGTGTCATTATGTCAACTCACTATGATGTAACTTCTTGAAATATAAAGACATTGTTACGTGGAAGTCACGTGACGCTAGTAACATGTCATGAACTTCTTAAGGATCATGTCCCTTCCTGAACGCTCGAGTGTTTACTAGATTTCAGTATTCTTTTATATTGTTACGTCTCCGTTCGGTGAATTAACTTTCCGTAACTTCGTTCCGACGAAATTTTAGCGACACAAGTCCTTACTTAATAAAACTGGTTTATTTTTTCCGAATACAACTTTACGATACACTTATTTTCAACAGTCGCTCTATATAACAAACGCTATATCAACGAACGTCAACAATACTTTTGACTGCAGTTCAATTACTCACTATCTACACACAAATTATCGTCTCCTCACGTTGTCACCCTCTTTTATACACCAGACTACCCTATATCTAGTAAATGCTAGAGCATTCGCCAAGGTACAGGATAGTTCTAGAAACGTGGCGTGACACTAGTCATGTGACTTCGCTGACGCAACAATATTAACTAGTAGGATAAAATATGTATAAAATGATCTGGAGTTATAAAACCTCACCTAAACATTGACCGTTTTTTTAAATTGAGTATCTTACTGAGAATGAAGTCTAGTCATTATAGGTTTTGGTTTTATTGTCTTTATTGAAAGAGCCTCCTTTTGGACCACAAATAAACATTAATTCCACGAGTCGCCATAGATGCATGCAGGCAAACAGCAAGTATCCTTAACACAGCCATAACGTATTCAAATGTACTGAACGTCCAGCGGTTCCGTTCTCAGTATAATGTGAGTGGGCAAGTACCGAACTGTTATATACCATACTGACCAGGCAAATGTCATACTGTGAAATCACGTTCAGACCAGGATAAATCTTTC